TTTTTTTTTTTTTTTTTTTTTTGTAGCAGGGATTGAACTCAGGACCTTGTGCTTGTGAGGCAGGCACAGTGCCACTGAGCTGAATCCCTGGCCCACAACTCTGGACTCGCAGGTGTTGTTGGGGAAGGTAGTGGGGGAAGCCAATGCCTATCTTGCAGTAGAGACTGCTAGGAACATCTTCAAAAGACAAGGACCTGGTCCAATCTGTCCTGAGAGTGTATGGAGCTGGAAGTTGGGGTGGAGGGGTCCTGCTGGATCCAGGGCTGGGTGACAACCTTGGGTCCAGATAAGATCGAGGCCTGGCCATGACTTGCCCAAGGCCTCCCTGAGTTAAGGCGGAGCTGGACCCAGGCTCTGGTTCCCACCCTTCTTATGCTGTTCTTCCTCCTTCTCTGTCCCACTGATTCGGGGCTACATGGGCTGAACTCAGTGTCTGGACCTTGGGACACTGTGTGGACGGTGACTCAGCATCTGCTCGCAGGTCATGAAGCAGAGTCTCCTGGGAGATCTTGGCCTTCTTGTCCCCTCTTTCCTCCCTGCTCTTCTCATATTCACCCAGCCTGTCCCTGTCAGGCCCTTCTGGGAATCTTAGAGGCACCTAGGAGTGAGGGCACTGGACCCTGCCCCCAACTCAGTGGCCTTGTGGGGCCCTCCCTGGGCTGAGCATGGTCTGGGGCCCCAGGTGGATCAGCTCAAGCTCAAGGTCAGCCGGCTGGAGGAGGAGTGCACGCTGCTGCGCAGGGCCCGGGGGCAGCTGCCCGGGGCTGAGGAGAAGGAGAAGGAGCTGGACAGTGTGGACCTGGTCTCCGAGCTGCGGGCTGAGAATCAGCGGCTGACCGCGTCATTGCAGGAGCTGCAGGAGGGCCTGCAGCAGGTAGGGGGGCTGTCCTGGCGGCCTCAGCAGTGGATGGGGGGACCCCTGTTGTTCACTTGAACTCCCTGGGTCTGGAAAGTGAGGATTCTAGGCAGACCAGGGGTCTGAGATCTGGATGCATCTGACCAGTTACCCATCTAAGTCTCTGAGTGGAGGATCCATACTCCTTACCCTACCACTGCAAGTTTAATCTGAGGTCTCTGCAGCCTCCTGGAGGCCTCTGAACCCCCAAAACCATGAGCCTGATCCTATGTGTGAGCATTTTCCTAGGAAGACTTCCCAGCTTCCTGGGATTTGTAGAGGCATCTTGCGCTAAGAAGGTTCAGGCCCCAGAGGTCTGGGTGACCCAGGGCTTGCTTGGTGGCCTGTGGCAGTGTTGGCCTTGCCTTGGCCTAGTTTCACCCAGGAAGGGAGGGATGGGAACCAGTGTATTTCATGGGGTTGAGGGTGCCAAGGCCCAGCTCCTTGGGGATCCCTCAGAAGAGTAAGAACAGGCTTTGGGATGCTTCTTTAAGTGCTGGGTAGGGGCCAGAGCAAGAGAGTGGCCCAGGTTTTCATTTGGAACTAAGGTCGTGGCTGAATTTACCTCATTAGTATTCTAGATGTTCCTCGGGGCCATGCCCACTGGGGAAACAGATCCAGAGAGATCAAAGTTCTAGGCCAAGTTGGCAGAGCTCATGGGAGGGGCCTGAGGGCTGAGGGCTGGGGTTCCCCTTTCTCCCCACATCCAGTGTGGGTCCTGGGCTGGGTGTTGAGGTGGGCGTGAACTCTGACCCCCCCAGGAGGCGAGCCGACCAGGGGCACCAGGCTCCGAGCGCATCCTCCTGGACATCCTGGAGCATGACTGGCGGGAGGCACAGGACAGCAGGCAGGAGCTGTGCCAGAAGCTGCATGCCGTGCAGGGGGAGCTGCAGTGGGCTGAGGAGCTGCGGGACAAGGTAGTGCCCACTGCCCTGCCTCCCCTGCCACTCTCTGCAGCGCCAGTGTCCCTGTCCTGGGGGAGAAAGTGTCAGGCCTCATGGGTCCCTTTCAGTGGCCTTCCCAGCATCTCCATGTAGGCACCGAGCTGAGAATTGTGCATCCATCGTCCTCAGACACTCACGGGCCCTGCTAGACCCTCAAGAGTTATCGGTGAATAGAACAAAGCCCCCTACTCCTGCAGAGGTGCTTCCTGCAGGGAGACGGGTGCCGTGCGCCCGTGTGACCCCGTGGGAGCTATTTCAGGCAGCAGAAGACAGTGCTATGTGCAGAGCTGAGTAGGGGAAGGGGCTGCAGGTCCAGAGTTCAGCAAGGGCACAGAGGCTGGCCTTAGTGGTGGGAACGTCATCGCTCTTGTTCTGCATTTTGCAGTTTAGGCAGGGGCCTGGACCATCTTGCCGGGGAGGTGGGTGCTTGTGGCTTCGGCTCAGGACTGTCTTAGGGGAGTGCTGGGACCCGCTGATTGGCTACCCTTGAGCTGGCCTGTGGTCTGAGCCCACCACCCTCCCTGCCCGCAGTACCTGCAGGAGATGGAGGACCTGCGTCTCAAGCACCGCACGCTGCAGAAGGACTGTGACCTGTACAAGCACCGCATGGCCACTGTCCTGGCCCAGCTGGAGGAGATCGAGAAGGAGCGGGACCAGGTGATCCCCAGCCTGCTGTGACCTGGCCTTGGTCCCACTGATAGATCTGGTCCAGGGGAAGAGGGGAAGAGGAGGAGGAGTGGGTAGAACTGGAAATGTGGAAAGAGATTTCCAAAGTGCATTGGCTGGTTTAGGATGGGGCAGCAGGGCAGGGCCACAGAGACAAGAGTCTTTGGAGGTACTTGAGCAAACCCAGAATTTCCTAGACTATAAAACCTGGACTCGAACACCTGCTAGTCTAGTCTGATATAGGCCTAAAAGCACCCCTCCCCAGACCAGCTCCTCAAATCCCCTTACTGCACAGGAGCAAGCGAGGGCCAGGGCCTTGGTCAAAGTCTCCAGGCCCTTTGTGAATCAGACACTGGTCCTGAGATGCCAGCCTTATGCTTCAAGCCCACATCTCACCTGCACTTGCAGGACAGTTACAAAAGCCAGGGGTGGCATTCTTCATTTCTGAGTCTCTTGTTCTCTCTGTATCAAGGGCAAGGCCAACATAGAGGAGGAGGTGCCTGCGATTATTTGCTGATGAAGAAATTCTCAAAAGTTTTGGCTCTGGTCCCTGGGAGCCATAGCCTTTGCCTCCTGCCGGGGCCGTGGGGTGGGCTGTGGTACTTGGGCTAGTTCCCCTGTTCCCTGCCACCTTGTGTGAGGTGGCCCGTGCAGGGGGAGGGCAGGAGGGTTTGTCCTTGACCACGTTTGAGTCCCACGAGAGGCATTGAAGGTTGCACTTGAGAATGCACCTCAGTCTTAGGGACTGGGACTTGAGGATAAAGATTTGGGGTTTTATGCCTGGATTTTCTAACTCTGATGGCTGGGGCAAGGCCCAGGAATACACGTCACCAGCCCACTCCCAGCCCCAGGCCTTCCTTGTGGAGAAAAGTACTTAGGATGCAGAAGGCTGGGCTTAACCTCTGTGCTTCTGCACTGACTGGGTGCTACAAACAAAGTTCCAGGAGCACAGTAGGTCTCCTGGAAGTATTTTAGGTCATTCTTGGTGAAATGGTAAAAGCCCAACTCTATAGCTGGACTGGCCGGTTAGCTCTGCCCTGCTGACATGGTTTCTCCAGCTGCAAAAGGAGAAAATGGTGATGATGTCATCTCTAACTTAGTCTCGTACCGTGAAGATGCAAAGAGCTGATACTCAGCATGGCGCTTGACGCACAGGAAGGGCTTGGTAGATGTGGCTGCCACTAGGATGCCGGGACAGCTGGGCTTGTGCGGCCCCTTTAGCGGCTGCCTCTCCCTGCTCCCTCCAGGCCATCCAGAGCCGCGACCGCATCCAGCTGCAGTACTCACAGAGCCTCATCGAGAAGGATCAGTACCGCAAGCAGGTGCGTGGGCTGGAGGCTGAGCGGGATGAGCTGCTGACCACGCTCACAAGCCTGGAGGGCACCAAGGCGCTGCTGGAGGCCCAGCTGCAGCGCAGCCAGGGCGGCTCTTGCCTCAAGGTGAGAGGGTCAGGCGTGCAGTGGCGTGGGCTTCTGGTGGGAGCTGGGTGTGGGTTGAGAGCAGGATGGGGGCGTGTGCGTGTCTGAGTGTCTGGGTTGCATAGACACTGAGGAATGTTTGAAGCCCTGTTCCGCACACACTTGGGTGAGCATATTGGAATGGAAAACACGGACCTTGGAGACCAGCTGGGCTGGTGTGGGTCTAACTCCCCCAGAGACCAGCTAACCTAATCCCCTTCTGTTAGTCAGTTTTCCGTTGCTGGAATGAAACGCCTGGCACACACAACTTACAGAAGGAGAGGTTTATTTTAGCTCATGATTTATGAGGTTTCAGTCCATGGTCAGCTGGCTCCAAGGCTGAAAAGGAATTCCAAAAGAAAGCTGAGAGCCGGGAAGCAGAGACACGGGGAAGAGGCAGAGGGACCAGGCCAGGAACGAGAAACAGTCCCCAAGGTCATACCCCCACAACCCACCCAGAAATGTACTTTGTTAATTTCCTATGTATCTCTCCAGCCAATCATGTTGACGGTCAAGATTAACTATCGCACCCTTCATGGTACAGGCTCAAGAGAGGTCAGGGGCTTGCTTGTCTGTGGTCACAGATCATGTGTCAGTCAGACACTGGTCCTTGGGCTGCAGCCAGCTTTTTTTTTTTTTTTTTTTTTCCGAGTTGCTTGTCTTTGAGTTCAGTGGGCCTGGTAGTGATGCACTGTGGCTTGGAAGAACGCAAGAAGGGGGCAGGAAGCTGTGACCTCCCACATGTTAGAGACCCCCATGGCTCTCTTTTGCTCCTAGGAAAAGATATGTCCTTCATCATACCCAAGAGGCCATGCAGGTTGGGTGCCTCCTTCCCTTTAGCTTGGTTCTTTGGGTCTCAGCATTTTCGTTTTGAATGTGTCACAGTCCTGCCTCAGGGCCTTTGTACATGTGGTCTATCTGCCTAGACCATCCAAACTGTACCAACTTAGCACCAAAACATCCTTGAGTTCTCAGTTCAAAGCCTGTTCTCTCTGGAAAGCATTTTGTGCCCAAGGTTGAGTGGGGCTCTTGAGCGCTCCCTGTGCCCTGGGCACGTTCCTTCTGCTGTCATTGCACTTGGGGTGATCATGCTCCTCTGATGGTTTGCGGTCTGTCTCCACTTGAGCCTTTGAGCTCCACAAGGCTAGAACCTGGCTAGCTGTGCCCCAGGTCTGTCCTGTGCCTGCTGCCTGGTCGGCCCAGGCTCAGTCTTGCTCACCTGCGCCCCCCATCCTCTTCCAGACCTGTGCCTCCTCCTATTCTCTGTGCTCCAACTTCAGCAGCACCTGGAGTCTGGGTGAGTTCTCCCCGCTGGGAGGCCCGGAAGCAGCTGGGGAAGTGGCGGCCGCTGGAGGATCTGAGCCTCACACCTCGGTAGGACCCCCCACCTGCCCCAGATACATGAATTCCAGCATGTGGGGTGTGCCCCAGTTTGCCAAGGGTTCTACTTCCCAGGTGAGGTCCAGGGAGGTCAGGACCTTGTTTAAGTCCCCCAGGACCACTTGGGCACCAGGAGACCAGGGAGCCGCTCACACGCATTGCTCATAGAGCTTGCACCTCTGCTTTGGGTTGGGGTCTTGTGTGTGTGAGGGCGGGGATGGTGTTGGGCTGGAAGGTGACACAGGGCCTGTCCCTATGTTGCAGGAGGAGGCCACCAATAGTGAGAAGGAGATCAATCGCCTGTCCATCCTGCCCTTTCCCCCCAGCGCTGGTTCCATCCTCCGCCGGCAGCGTGAGGAGGACCCCGAGCCCCCTAAGAGGTAAACAGGCTGCGGACAGCATGGCTGACCCAGGAGGTGGGTGGGAGGCTGGTTCCTGAGTAGCCACCTCCCTGGAGCCCCATGCCAGAGTCAGGTCCACGCACACAGTCACTTCTCTTAACGTGGCTGGAGCTCTCTAGGCTCAGGTGTCCTAGGAGGGCCTGAGTTGGGGGTAAGATGAGGCAGGAGCACAGAGAGTGCCCAGATGGGAAGGTCATTGGAGGTGACTTGATCTCCGAGATCCTCAGCCCAAGGGGAAGTCTGATAGCCCAGGACCAGGGGATGTGGAAAATGTTCCCAGGGGTTAAGGACCTAGGGTGAAAAGAAGAAAGTCGGGCCCCAGGTTCAGACATCATTTGAGATGGGGCCAGAAAAGCCAAGCTGTCTCTGCTGGTGGCAAGGCTGAGGCTGGGTGTTATACCTCTGGGCCACAAAGGGAAGGTAGCAGTGCGGGAGTGAGGGTGAACAACCAGGGGAAGCTTCCAGAAGGCTTGGCTGGCTTGAATGGACAGACAGCCATGGCACAACATATACAGAGGCCAGACCTTAACTTCTTGCCCCGTGGCTGTAGGGGACCCAGGAGGCATGATGCCTGATGTCTAGGCCCTTGACTGGGGTCCAGCCTGCGTTTGTTTGGGGCTGTGGGACCTTTCCTTAGCCTGAAGGTGGGAGAGAAAGAGGACAGAGACCCCGCTGGGCCTCACCTCCTGTCCACTCCCTGCCTCTCTCTGCCCAGGTCCTTCAGCAGCATGTCCGACATCACAGGTAACGGCCCTGGGACTTCCTGGAGGGCTCATCTTGCAGAGGCACTTGCAGTCCGCCTCAGGCCTGTGTGCCGGCACCCCCCACAGCCCGTATCCCCTCTCTGAGGGCACACTGTGCCCCTGGCCAGGGCCTGCTCGGGAGGTTCTTGGGGACTGTTCAGGCTGCCCACTCCGAGCCAGCCCCAGCCTCTACTCCTGCTCCGGAGGTGTGGGGCTCCTCAGTCCCTGCCCACCCTGCTGTTCCCAGAGGGTCAACCTGGGGGTTCTGAGCCAGTGGGACTGGCGTGGACTTGGGCCTCCCCACTGTACCCCTCTTCTCCCAGACCCTAACCTGCACTTTTCCTCCCCAGGGAGTGTGACACTCAAGCCCTGGTCTCCCGGCCTCTCTTCATCGTCCTCCTCCGACAGTGTGTGGCCTTTGGGAAAGCCAGAGGGCCTCCTGGGCCAGGGCTGTGGCCTGGGTCTCCTCAACAGGTAGTAGCCACCTGGGCTGGGTGGGGCTGGGGTGGGCTTTATGCCTGGGCCTGAGACAGGGTGGGGGTTGGGAGGCAGGAGAGCTTCTGCTGTAAGTGAGGGTAGAATTCAGACCCTGGATGACCTTGGATTCAAACCGTTACCACTGTTTATCACTCTCTGACTTGGGCTGGTCACTTCTCCTCGGGCCTTGGCTGGTCAAAGGGGGAAAGCAGTCTCTTCAGATGTGGGTGTTCTGGGGTTTCTGACCCTGCCAGGTGTGTAGTAGCTGTTTAGTAAGTAACAGTGCTTACTCTCAGGCTGCTCTTCTTCCAACTGCTTGCTTGCTGTTCCGACCAGCTCTGAGCTCCTGTAGGACAGAAACACCTTACTGATTGTCTTACTCAGGGTGGGGACACCGGGGTCCCCACAGGCTGTAACATGAGCCGCAGAGCATTAACAATAAGGTATCACAGACAGCATGTGCTGTTGTGCTATTGGTGGGCCATGTTCCTGCCTCCAGGAGGGGCTGAAAACTAGAAGGTGACCTTTGTTTGAGCTCAGCTGAGGCAGGGTGAACAGCTGCAGGGAGAGCAGAGGCTGGCCAGGAAGGGGCCTGGGGAGTCTGTGAGTCAGGCTGGGAACTCTTGGACTTTGGCTCGTGGTGTCTGGGAAGCTGGGGTGGGTTTGGTTATTATTAATTGCTGGGCCTGTTGCTGGCTACTTTACAGCAGTCTCTGTCCCAGGAGGAGGTGTTATCAGGATTACCCTTGTTTCACAGAGGAGGAAACTGAGGCTCAGAGAGGTTCAGGAACATTCTCACCGGGACACAGATGAGAAGTGCCAGGGCCAGGGCCACCGTAACCTGATCAGATTTGGATTTGGGAGCCTTGAGAGTCCACACTGGAATGTGGGTCGGGTACAGGACATGTCCAGGCTGGTGTCCAGGCCCTGCCCCCACCCCCACCCCCTGCGACATTGTTTCTGCCTGTGCAGGACATGCTTCTGGGGGAAGGGGCGGAGGCACCTCCCTTCCTGCCTGCCTCTGCCCTTCCTCCCTTCAGCCCGGCACAGGCCCTGGCCTGGGGCCAAAGGGGCGCCAGGATGCAGCCCAGGGAGCAGGAGGCTCTGCCCAGCCCCTGCCTAGGCCGTGAGCACGTGGGCCACCTCTGCTGCTCCCAGTTTCTGGGGAGGAGGAAAAGCACAGATTGGGGTGTGGCAGGGGTGCTGAGAGGGAAAGGGGGACAGGCAGGGAGGGAGGTGAGGGCCTGAATCTGACTGGGTGACTCATCCTGAGTCCTGGGGAGAGAGAGTGGGCTTTGGAGCCAGCTTTCCAGGCTCAAGTCTCTGCTCCTGCAGCTTTGGGGCAGTGGGCAGGTACTGGATTTTCCAGCGCCTTAGTCTCCTGCTCTGTGTTTTTTTTCCTTTTTTTCTGTCTTTTTTTTGTGTGGGGGGTATTGGGGATTGAACTCAGGGCCTTTGCACTGAGCTACATCTCCAGCCCTTTTTAATTTTTAACTTTGAGATAGGGTGTTGATAAATCTGTAAATTGCCCAGGTTGGGCTGGAATTTGAAATCATTCTGCCTCAGCCTCCTGGAGGGCTGGGATTACAGGCGTGCCGGCACATCCAGCTCTGTCAGAACTACTCATGCTTATGTAGAGTGCCCTCTCCCCTTGTGCCCAGCATTTTCTTGCCTGTTTTCCATTTCTTGCCATTTCTTCCCCTCAGCCTCTCTGCCAGATTCTCCTGGGCTCCCCTCGCTCTCCTTTCTGCCAGGGGCCAGGGCAGGGCAGGGAAGGGTGGGAGCTTTGATGGCCAGGTGGACAGCTGGATGAGGAGACAGCAGGAGGGACCCGAGAGTGAAGTGAGCTGCTGGGTGAGGAGGGGCGCACAGGGAGCACGTGCGAGAAAGTCGGGGTGCCGTCTCCACGCAAGCTTCAAACCCTGCCCACATTTCCTCAAGTGGTCTTAGGATCTCTAGGACCTTCCATCCTTGCACAGAAAAGGCTCTAATGGGTCACGGCCTGACTCTGTTCCCCACCAGCTGCACCACCCCTTGGCAAGTTATAACTTTCCTGTGCCTCAGTTTCCCTCATATCTAATTCATAGTTACCGACCTCAGGGCTGTTGGGAGGATTAAGTTTGGTCGTTTATTGGCAGCTTAAGTCTCAGCATCACAGGCCCCTGACCTGAGATTTCCCACATTGCCCTGGGTGCCCATGTGCCCATTATTGCTCAGACCCAGCAGACTCACCCCTCTCAGTGCCCATGGCCTGAGCTCCTGGCTGGCCTGTGAGTCCTCCCCTGCTGGCTGGAGCAGCCCCATTCTTCCCACAGGCAGGGTTGGGATCCCTCAGAGGTCGATCTAAGAGGGTTGGCAGGCAGCCCCTCCCCTGCACCATCGTCCCCCCACCCCTGCCCATCAATGCCTTGGCCTGGGAGGGTTCTAATTAGCCCAGTGAGCTCCAGGGACTCTGGGAAACAAGATACTGCTCTGGGGAAACTCAGGAAAGTCCTTTGGTTCTTTGGACCTGTGGAGGTTGGCAAGAAGGGATGTCACAGCTGGTCCTCAGGGAGCAGCAGGTGGGGCAGGAAGGCGGGGAGGAGCTGAAGGTCATCATGATACTGGAATTGCAGGGGTGGAGTGGGTGGGAGGCTTCTGAGGGCCTGGTGCAGGCTGCTTGCTTGGCTGTTGTCCATAGGCCATGGTAGTCAGTCGTCTGTGGGTTTGAGACAGGTGGAGAAACTGAGGCCAGAGAGCGGTGCTTTGGTCTGAATCACACCCTACAGCAGTGAGAGTCAGGTTTTTCTTGAGCACTTGGTGGTTGCCGGGCCCTGTTCCGAGTGCATCCTGTGTTTTAATGACATTGAGTGCAAGTGAGCAGTTATGCAGCCAACCCATCTGGGCATGGAGTTCCTGCCAGTGCCCTCTGGCCCTGTCCTTAACCTCTCTGCACACCCACAGGGAGAGAAAGCCAGGACACAGCAGAACAAAAGCTGGAGAGACAATAGTGGGTTTTACTTGGGAAGAGGCAGAATTGTGTTTTTTATTCCATTCCACTAAAAACACAGAGCTAAGTTTATCAGGAAGAAGTAGAGAGGCAAGAAACAAACAGAAATATAGCTAATCAGGACCCTGCAAATTCCACAGCCTTCTGAGGACACCGTCTTCTGCATCTGTTGGTCCCATGGAGGTGAGGGTTGGTGACATCGTGTGTTTTTCATTTTCATACTGAACTGAACCCAGTATCTTCATAATGAAATATATCCCTAGTCCTTTTTTTTTTTAACGTTGGACCAGGGTCTCAACCAAGTTGCTAAGTTGCCCAGGATGACCTCAGACTTAGTCCTCCTGCCTCAGCCTCCCACGCAGCTGGGATTACAGGTGTGTGCCACCATGCCCAGCTCAGATCCTCGTTTTATGGATGTGGGCACAGACTCCAGCAACCAACTCCTTTGTTCACATCCAGGGCACAGTGTCCACTGGGGTTTGGAGCTTGACTGTCCTGTACCAGCCGCTGGCCAGCTGGGTCTCAGGCTTCCCGTTTCTGCCAGGCCTTTCCCAGGAAGCTGAGGAGGCTGCAAGCTGGTACACCATAGGCTGCCAGCAGGGGGCAGTGTGTTACAGCTGCCAGGGTGGTGGGGAGGCTGCCCCGGGGTCCACATACTGACTGTGGCCTCACCCTCTCCCCATGACTGGGGCTCATGGCAGAGGCTTGAGCTCAGTTTGTCTCTGAGCTTGGCCACGGGACCTTGCCAGGTCTGATCTAGGGACAGGCGATCTTGGTGACTGTTTCAACTGTCAGTGGCTCCCACTGCTTTCACAGGCTGCCTGTGGCCTGTCTTTTCCCAGGATGTTAAATTAGTAATCAGGGCAAGGAGCTGAGCATGCTGCCCGGCACATGGGAGGCACCTGGTCAGCGCTGCTGTCACTGTGATGTCTGGCACGTCCTGTGCTCTGTCCTCCACACCGAGGCTCCTCCCTACCTGTCACCAGAGAGCCTCTGACCCCAGGGTGTAGCCCGGAGGGGGGGTTCTCTCCCACCCTCACCCCCGGTCCCGGTGCCAGCCAGGATGTTCTGCCCTGTGTTGTGCTTTGCCGGCACCGCCCTCCTGGACTTCTGCATGACTGGCCTTCGCTGTGAGCCAGGTGCTGAGTTTGGTGGTAGGGACTCAGCCTGAACACTGAAGTCTGGCTCTGAATGCCTTGTTTCTGCTGGGGAGGACAAAAAGGGAAGTGCAAATGGCGAGCTCCTCACTGGGGGCCCCAGCATCTGGCTGGGCTTGCCTTGCACTCTGAAGAAGGAGCAGCATTCAGGCAGAGCAGAGGAGGGGGACGTTCCAGGTACAGGGCCCTGTAGGCACAGTGGCCTGGGGAGGGACAAGGTGTGCTTGGGGAATGGAACCACTGCATCGAAGCAAATTCCTGTCCTTCTCCTCTCTCCCCAGGTCTCTGGCCATCCGAATGTCTGGCTGGAGCTCCCCAGGGGGCCCAGAGTCCCTGGACAAGGGTCCAGATAGCCTACCCTTTCGTGGGGACAGATGGTCTGGGGCAGTGGTGCGGAGGGTGCTGTCTGGCCCTGGGTCTGCCAGGACCGAACCAAGAGAGGTGAGACCTCACCCCCTGAGCTGGGCTTGGAATCTGTTTTGTCTAGGGCTGGACACTGATTGGTACAGTAAAGCCACTGGGTGGGGCTTTGGGGAGTGGCTAACGCAGAAATAGGCTTCACGATTGGCTGGCTGCTGGTTACCCTACCTCAGCAAGTGTTCAATAAAATATGATTGGGTAAGGACTGAGGCGGGCAGACTGACGGCACTTTGACAGAGTCTAGCCCTTAGAATACTTTCTTTCGCTGATGGATTATCTCCTAGCCCAGGGCAGAAGGTGCTGGCCCGGAGGGGATGGGCCTGGAGGCCCAGCAGAGATCCTTGGTGTCCACACTCCCCTCACGGCTGGACTTGAAGGGTAAGCCTGGCCTGGGGCAGGGCCTGGGAACTCGGGAGTTCTAGAAAGCCAGAATTAGTAGCCCAGGGGAAGACTTTTCCAGCCTAGGGCGCAGGTGGGAGAGAAGGTGGAGGAGATGCCTGGCCTTGTCTCCTCACTCCGTGTGCTGTAGGCCTGTTGTCTGTTCTTGTTCTCTTTCTCTTTGAGCTTCCTGTGAAAGGAGCACTGCATTAAAAGTCCGTGGGTTTGAGTCCTGGCTCTGTCCCTAGTGGGTTCAGGGGCCTGGTGGACTTCCCACCTTCTGATCTTAAGGCACTTGAAGGAAGGGGTGGTCCCGGCAGCTAGGCCTTGGGAGGGCAGCCCCTATGTCCCCCTAAGAAAGCGCCTCAGCCTCACACCACCTCTCGTCTTTCCTGCTGCTCTCTGCCCTGCCCATGCCCAGCCTGCCAGTCCTTCCATGAGGCCCTCGATGCCTGGGCAAAGGGGCAGGGGGCCGAGCCCTTCTACATTCGAGCCAACCTCACCCTGCCCGAGCGGGCGGATCCTCATGCCCTGTGTGTGAAAGCCCAGGAGATCCTGCGGCTGGTGGACCCAGCTTACAAGCGGCGGCAGGAGTGGTTCTGCACCCGGGTCGACCTCCTCACACTTCGGGACCTGGACCGGGGCACAGTGCCCAATTATCAGAGGTGATGCGGAGCTGGGAGCCTGGGGATCGGGCCCCGTGGGGAGCTGGATCAGGATGGGGGCGCTCTCTTTCCTCCTGTAATCCCTTGCTGTCCCTCCGGGACAGGGTGAGGGTTGGAAGAGAGGAGGCCAGGGGTGTCCTTCTTCCTCCAAGCACGTGACACAGCTCTTTCCCACAGAGCCCAGCAGCTCCTAGAAGTCCAGGAAAAATGCCTGTCCTCTAGCCGGCACCGGAGCCCCCGAAGTAATGTGAGCAGGGTGGGGTGGGTGGGAGGGGGCCCAAAGGGAGGGCTCTGGCTGCATTTTCTGCTGTCTCAGGGGAGGAGAGGAAGCTCTGCTGGGATTTACCTGATCATCTCCTATGTGCCCAGCAATCAGTGGTTTTGCCTTCTAGTGTGGGTGAGAGATTAAATGAGATAGACTTTGTTCACTGTCCCGGAGCAGGTCAGGCACAATAGTAGGCATCTGACAACAGTCCTGTTCCCTTCCAATCCCTGGGTGAGGGCTGGGTCTGGTCATCACTCGCCCTCTGAGAGGTTAGATCAGTGCGAGGCCATGCTGCTGGAGAGCAGGCTGAGCATGGGGCTGGGGGAGACAGATAGGTGGGATTGGGGTTGGAACCCTGCACCACCATGCCTGGCTGGGTTGTTGTTGTGTTTTTGTGTTGTGTGACTTGGGACGGTCACCCAAACCTCTTAACCTCTTTCCTGCTGCTCCCCGTCCCATTCTTGGAGCAGTTTTCTTACCTGCAAAACGGGGTGGTCACTCCACCTGCCTCTTGGGCAGTGCACGGCTGCAGAGAGTCCGTGCACGTCCAAAGCCGGTACTGACCCCTGCTGGCGTCCATAGGTGGCAGGTTGGGGATAGTTAGTGCTCTCATACTGGACTCAGGAACCTTCCTACCCGTGGCCACGTTGCTCATGCATTGAGGAGCACCCAGAGTCTGTGACAAGGGGCTCCTTTTGGTCTCTGTCTCCCTGTCTGTAAGGTGGGGTACACATAGAGCTCCTCTGAGAAGCTCTACTGAGCTTGCTTACAGGGGCCCTTAGCAATGGCCACCCTCCTCGGCCTGGGGGCGGCACCCACTTGGTCCTGGACAGCAGGGCAGAGGGTTTTTGTGCTCCTGGACCTGTTTCCTCACTCTCACCCTAAAGTGAGGGTGCTGGGGGCGCTCAGGTGACCCTCCTCCCCTCATGCCTTCCCAGCTAAAGAAGCGGGCCCTGGGGCTGGTGAGGCCCAAGCCTGTGGGGGGCGCTTCAGGGGACCCCCCGGAACAGCTGCTGCCAGAGCCCTGCTCAGGTGAGTGGGTGGGGATGTCCTGTGCTGCTCAGTAGCCCAGGACGGTAGGTAAGGCAGTGTCTTTTGGGAGAAGCCCTGTGCCCTGGAAGGACTATGAGGGTCCTAGCAGGGGTGGGGCCTGAGAGCCAAGGCTCCCCCTGCTGGTGGAATGGGCGGCTACAGTTAAGGGGACCTGCGGACAGGAGCTGGTAACTGTGGCGGTGGGGGGCCAAGCATGGCCTGTGCCTGTGTGTCAGTGTGGCTGAGCTGCGCACGGGTGTGCGATGGGAGAGGCAGTGAGGACCCCGAGGGGGCGGTTCCTGGAGGAGGAAGCAGGATGGGGCCACGTCAGGGACAGGGCTGGGGGACCCATAGGAGGGAGACACAGGCCTGAGGGGCAGTGGACAGAGGGTGGTTAGGGAGACTTTTAGGAGAGAGGTTGTTTCAGCTGTGGCCTTTGGGGATGAAGAGGAGTTGGCTTCAGGCAGAAGGCACAGAGAAGGAAAGGCACAGAAGCATGGCTGCCTGTGGGGCCTTTGAAGGACAGGCACAGAGAGTGGGTATGGAGCACATTGCTGGGCCCGGGGGACAGTGGTCCCTTCCTCATGTCTCCCAGGGAGGCTGATGCTGTCACATAATCTCACCGTGAACGAAGGGGACCACCAGGTGCCCATGTGGGCACCAGGGAATGTGGCCCTGGGCTCTGAGGGGTAGAGGGTTAATTACCTGGGCTAGGAGGCGCAGGGCTGGGGCTTTGGGTGGCCACACGTCATGCAGAAGTCCTGTGACTGAAGGCAGTGAGGGCAGAGAGGCGGGAGTGGCTTCCATCTCCTGGGGCTCCAGGGCAGGCTGTCACGCGTGTGGAAGATATGGCCTCTGGCTTGCGAAACTGGGAAGCCACTGGCATTTTGAAAGCAGGGGAGTCACCTGGTGGGACTTCGGTTTTGAAGCCTCTCTGGCTGCTGAGTGGAGGGTGACCTGTAGGGGGCAGGGGCGAGGCAGAGGATCAGAGAGGAGCCTCCCGGACTAGCCCCAGCAAGGAAGTGGGGGAGCCCTGCAGAGTGTGTGTGTGTGTGTGTGTGTGGCAGGGTAGGTGCTACTTTAGTTTTGAGTATCAGAGGCAAGAGGAGCCTGGACCCACACCCGTCCCCGCTGCAGAGCCAGAGCAGAGCCTCAAGCCCTACAGCCTGGTGCGGCCACTGCTGGTGTCTGCTCTGCGGCCCGTGGTGCTACTGCCTGAGAGCCTGGCACCCCGGCTCATCCGCAACCTGCTGGACCTGCCCAGCTCCCGGCTGGACTTCCAAGTGTGCCCAGCAGGTGAGCCTGCGCCGTGGGAGGGAGGGCTGGGGCGCTAGGGCAGCCAGGCCCATCGCCCTGCACCACCACTCTCCTTCTTGCTCTACAGAGAGCCTCTCTGGGGAGGAACAGTACCCACCCTCAGCACCTGGAGCCCCCAAGGCCCGTCCAGCCACCCCTGGGCTGGGCAACAGGATCCGGGCCATCCAGGAGTCGGTTGGGAAGGTAGGTGCTGGGGTGCTGGACCACCGTTCTGGGCCAGCACCTGTGCTGCCTCTCAGGCTCCTCAGGTTCTTCACCTGTGATATGAGCGGTTTGGGGTCACTTTGCAGGTGTGGGGCTGGTGCCTCTTTACGCGCTTCCTTATCCTTGAGCTTGCTTCTCTCTTGCAAGCAGGCCAGGGCTGTACGCTGTAGGAAACGGGTGAGCTGTCCCTACAGATGGGGTGGCCAGGGTCCAGAGCAGGGGCGTGACCTTTCTCCACGTTACCCATGAGCCCGGGTCTCCGGTCTCCCCACTCCAGTTCTTTGCTCACTGCTAGGGTCTCTCAGGGTGGGGACACGGAACTTGCACCCATGCTGATGTGGTGGGAGACGGTATAGGGTGGGGCTGGGAGTAAACACAGTCTGTGTCTCCGAGAAGAAACACTGCCTGTTGGAGCTGGGAGCACGGGGCATTCGGGAGCTTGTGCAGAGCGATGTCTACCCCATCGTCATCCACGTGGAGGTGACCGAGAAGAATGTCCGCGAGGTCAGGTGAGGCAGGGCGGGGCTTGTGGGCAGGTGCTCTGTGAGGGTGTCTGTGCCTTTGCAGCTGTGTTCGCCATCTGTCTCGCCGTCCTCTCCCTCTGTTGTCTGCCTTCTCTCTTGCGGTCTTCTTGCCCCCTGTCCCTGTCCCTTTGTGTCTCTGCCCTCCTCAGAGCCCTGCTCTGATGCTGCCCACCCTCTCTCTGCAGGGGCCTCCTGGGCCGGCCAGGCGGGCGAGACTCAGAGCTGCTGCGGCAGTGCCGCAGTGTGGAGCAGGCACTCTGGGGGCTGCCCTGCTCCTGGGTGCAGGTGCCTGCGCATGCGTGGGGCCACGCAGAGGAGCTGGCCAAGGTGGTGCGTGGCCGCATTCTGCAGGAGCAGGCTCGCCTCGTGTGGGTGGAGCGGGGTAGCAGTGGAGGAAGTGGTGGCAGCAGTGAGGCCTGAGGACCCCTCTGAGGCCTGGCTTCCTGCATCCAAGGATAGGCTTCGTGCATCTGAGGCCCGGCTTCCTCCCTTGCTTCAGAAGCTGCCAGCCAGCAGGACCCTGTGTCTGTGGCCAGTTGGACCCTTTCATCTGGAGCCTTCCTTGAACTTTGGACTCTCCAACATGGGACCCTTGGCACTGGGCTCTCACCTGTCTGTCATTTGTACCCTGTTGAGAGGCTGCAGGAGCCCATGGGCCAGGACTTGCCCCTGGACTCGCTCCCGTGAGCCTTCCTGTCTGTCACCCTGTGTCCCCACATTCCCACTCGTGGGTCTCACTGTGTATGTCTGTGTCCCCTCCTTGAACACTTACCTTGGAGTCTGAGTTCTCACACCTGTGCACAGGTTTGCACACTCAAGTTCTCACAGGACAGCCTATGGTTGTCCCTGCCCCTGGGTGCATGGGGTCTTCCTCGGACCTCAGCTTGAAGGAGCCCTGAGTCTGGCACCTTGTGACCCCCACCCACCCAGCTCACACGTCTCGTGTACACTGCCACGCGTGGCCATTGTGGCTGCCTCTGTGGTCACTGTATCCCTTGAGCCTCCTAGTGTGTGTGTGTGTCTGTGGGTCTCCTGTGTAGATGTCACGCCCACCCCCTGACACTTGGGCACTACCAGGTGTGTGTTCCCAGCGAGCACACCCAGGACCATGTTCTCACAGCCACCCTGCCCTGCACCTGAGGGCCTGGTGGGGTGGCTGCTCCACCCCGAATGTACGCCCTGTGATTGCTGACAGACCTTTCACTCAGAAGCTGCACAGTCTGGAACATTAAACACGTTGTCTTACCTGCTGGTGGCCTCTCTTGCCTGCCTCCCTGGCCTGGGGCCCCCTCTCCAGTCTCCCCTTTGTCCCCACCTCCAGCTCAGGTGGATTCTACCTTTCAGTCCCCTGTTGCCCATGGGGAGGGTCAGATTTCCCACCTGACTCATCCCAGAGCTTCCCTCCATCTGCCCTGGCATCACCTTACCTGCCCCCAGAGGACAGGTGGGGGCCCCACAGATGGGCCACCCAGCACTCAGCCCTGTCCTGCCCTTCAGGGTGCGTCCTCTGGAGCTGGGCCCAGCTGCTGTGTGTAGCAGCCCTCAGGAGCTGTTGGGTCCCTGAGATAGTTCCGCCAGAAAGCACAGTTGGCCCGGGAGGAGCAGTCCAGGCAGGCTGACTGGAGGAGGTGCCACTTGAACTTGAGGGTTGGGATTCCCTTCAAGAAGCACCGCTCGGTATGTGACTCAATGCAAGTGGCCATCTTTGGCTGCAGTGCTGAACTTGGCTAGGCCCTGAGGGGTCGGAGTGGGTGGCTGTACTCCTTGGAGGGAGAAAAGGATGAGTGTGACCACCCAGGGAGTGGGAGGAAGTGAGCCTAGAAGCCCAAATCGGGCTGGGGACTGGCAGCGTGACTTGGGCTTGCAGGAGCCCTCTTGGAGTTGACTCCGTGGGCTGAGGCAGGGAGTGTTCCGCCTGAGTAGGGGCTGTGGGAGCTGGGCAGCAGAGAGGAGCATCTAGGAGTGAGTGGCGAGTCAGGGGGTTCTGGGGCCCCTCTCACCTGGAGCCCCCAGACTGGGTTTCTCTGTGTTTGGCAGCTGGTGGAAAAGATCCCAGGCTCAGAAGGAATCAAGGCTAGAGATTTGTGGTGGTGCCTGGAGAGGGGAACAGGGAGGCTTTGAGGGCGGAGGGCCCTGGGCCAGGGGGAGGGGGCTGCAGCCCCATCATCGGGAAGGAGGAGGGGCCAAGAGGAGCTGTAGGGAGGAAGGCGGTCAAGGGCCTCAGAAGCTGGGCCACATGGGAGGAGGGGGATCGAAGGAGGAGGGTCCTGGCTGTCTGCCCTGGACGGGTGAAGGTCTGGGGATCAAGTATGGGGGATCAAGATGCCGAGTCCAACTGGGATCCTGTACTGCCAGCCGGGTGACTGCCCAGGGCGAGGTGAGGCTCCCGATGCCCTGTGCTGGGTGGCAAGGCTGGGTGTGGGGCACTGGGCATGGCCGGTGTGGTTGGGGAGCCACTGCTTAGGAAGACTGAGAGACTGGGGGGCAGAGGGCAGGGAGGAGCCTTGCCTGGGAACCTGCAGGCCCCACCAGCCACCGCTAGGGTGATGTGTCCCTTGCTGCTCCAGGCCTGCTCTGGTGGATTCCCTGCTCCTCCCCAGGTAGCCAGCGGTGCCTCACCGTGGCTGTGCTGTGGCTGAACCTTTGGTCATGCCGGCCCCTGCCTAGCCACTTTCTGCCTCTGTCCTGACCTTTGAGTCCTGACTGAGACACCTTCTCTAGGGATCCTGCCAGATGTTCCCAGCCCTGGGGACATTGCCTGGCCCTAGCCCTCTTCTGCCTTGCAGTAGGATGGGGGTCTATATGGCTGTCTCTGCAGATGGCTGGGGCTCCCTGGGGGTGGGGACGGAGTTTGCTCCTGGGTAAGCAGCTCTCATCGCTCCCTTGCCATACCTGCCCCAGTGCTAGGCCTTTGCACACCTGGGTCCCGGAAAGGCTGAGGCCAGCTGCTCAGCCATCTTTGTCCATACCTGTCCCAGGTGTCCTTCCTGTGAGGTCACCACCAAGTTATGCTTTGGTTCCTAATTTATAAATGATGCCTGGGAGTGGCTGGGTTGGCATGTGAACCCAGGACAAAGCCTGGGAATGTCCCTCAGTGACACTGTTCTGAGAAGACCGGACGTGGTGGGGCCTGGTGGGGGGCTGGCCCATAGGAAGGCGACCCAGAAGGCCTGGTTTCCCATTCCTGACCCCTTGTCCTAAGGCAGGGCTGGCCCACCACAGTCCAGTTCCATTCTCCAGCCATCTGACACTGTTTGGTTTAATTAGCAAGGATTTGCTGAGCTCCTAGTATGTACCAGGGATAGTTCTGGGCGCTGGGGTTGGGGATTAAAAAAGAAGAAATCTGTGCTCTGGTATTCTTATGAGGGACAGAGACAATAAGTAAAACACATAGGACACTGGGAGATGAAAAATGTTACGGAGAAAACAGTAGGGAAGTGGGCACAGCAGGACAGGCGGGGGCGGCAGGGAGGAGGGCAGAGGAGCTACAATTTGAACAAAGCCATCAGGGAAGGCCTCAAGGGGGAGGTGGCATTTGTGTGAAGATCTGAAGTAAGCCAGCTGGACATGCAGATCTGTGGGGAAAAAGTGCTCAGAAGTAGCAAGTGCAGAAGTCCTGAGGTAGGTGAGTGCCTGACCAGTTGGGAGCTGAGCCTGTCCGAGTCAAGGGAGCAAAAGGAGGTTCGTAAGATGGGACAGGACAGGGTTAGAGCAGGGGTGGGAAGAGGATGTGAGTGACCTTCTGCAGAGCCAGATGGAGATGGGGCTGGAGAAGGCCCTGGGTCTGTCCTCTGTCCTGGCTGGGGCAGCAGTAGCTATAGTGGCTGCTAAGCGAGATGGGGCACGGAAGGCCACAGCTGTTTGGCCCTCGGGGGGCCTTCCATGGACCAGAGGAGAAGCGGAGACCAGGCTGCCACTGCTTGTGTGTCTGTGCTGCTGGATCATTGTGTATCACGCTGAGCCTCTGGGCCTGAGGTCCTCAGCTATGAACTGGGCGTGACCATCTCAGTGCTGTGTGCAGACGGAGGAGCTGAGAGAACTTCTGTGGGAGCCCCAGGAGTTGGAGGGACCATGGGGACAGCTTCAAGTCCAAATGCAATTCGGCGGCAGATGGAGCGCCCACCAGCTCCGGGGAGGGAAGGGTGTGCTCCAGGGTCGGTGGGCACAGCAGCCGGGCCGCGCTGCTCTTCCTTTGCAGTCTCCTTTCCAGCCACTTGGGCTCCTCGCTCACCCCGCCCTCGAGCTGAGGCGGGGGTGGGGCCAGGCGGCCCTTGGGCAGCGCCCCGCCGTGGAGCAGGTGGAGGCCGTGCT